ATCAATTATCTAAGGTCAAGTCATCAACATCAATCCTTTACTTCAGTTCTTCATTTAAAAAGTTTAATCAAACTTTTTAGATTAGTGAACCTCAATGTTAATTTCGATTTATGACTGATAAGCTGAAACAGCATGGAAACGATTCATAAAGTCACCTCTTTTTTGTAATGAATTCAGAAATACTTTTTAAAAATGAAGTTTGCGAACAATTTTGTTTGTCTAGTAAAAAAATGTAGACAATGTAGTATGATTATTGTTCGTTAGATTTCTAAAGAAAAACAAGAAGACTGAAAAAATCCTAATGAAAATAAATGTACAGAAATGAGAAACAACATCAAAACTAGTGGAAAATAATAATCATAATATAAATTATAAAGTTTGAAACTTCCACATACACATGTAAAAGTATGTAAATATCTACTCATTGAATTATATTTATGGATACACTATAGAGTACTGAAATGAAAAACAATAACTGCGTAAAAATTATTTATCATTAAAGAAAAAGCCAAAAAACAATTTGTCAAAATTTAGGATTCCCTAAAGATTAGCATAAATTATTTATCAAAAACAGCAACCAGACATTGAATAATTGTTAGACTAATGAAACAAATACAAAGCTTAAAAAATTTTTTCTCGTGAGTTCGTGTATGTATGTTTTCCATTAAGGGATATATGCTCAACTGTAGAATGTTTAACGTACAACCCTTACTGAGCAGGAGATGACATCTTTGAAAATCTAACAGTAAAATTCATATAAACAAATAACATTGAGAAATGGTTCCATAAATACATAATCTAATGTATCCTTTACACAAAAAGTAAACGATAGGGTGTTCAATAGTAAAACAACGATTAAGACGTAATAAATCGAAAGTGATCACGGTTTGTAAAGTCTTCGAAATACTGATGTAACAAGTTATTAAATAGTTCTTCGACTCATTTCAGTCTTGAGTACTGTTAGAGGTATTAGGGCAGTTATCACTTCCTGGTTGCCCACACCGTGGAAGGGTTCTTCTGGAGGTACCTGAAAAGGAAATTGAGTAGGAGGTGATCTTAGTGACCTGAGAGCGTGACCCTAGTGCCCATGGAACAACTGATTGAGGCCGGGCACACACGATCCTTTTGTGAGTAATCTTCATGTTAGCTCCGTACTTGTTAGCACATCACCACTGGAGACGGGAATCCGTGGGATAAGGTGGGGTGCAATTTTGCGGTGGATCTCTTCTAACTCCACTCTTCCTTGTGCGAAAGCAACATCACTGTTATACTGGTTGTCTGAAGGAAACACCTTACTGCCGTCACGCCTCTGTACAGCCAACAGTACGACTTCGCCCTCGTACATTGAGTTTGTTGCTTTTAGTCTTACCTACCTGGCATGGTAAACCTTGAGGGACGATTGTTCCAGCCAGTATAGCCTGACTAATTCATCACGATAGGCAAGCCCGACCACCACGTCCATGTAGTAGCAATTCATTTCAATTTAATGCGAAGAGTCCTCAAGATAACTGATTTGATGCATACTAACAAAGTGAACATTTGATTGAATCATTTTTACGGGTTATGTTATAAACTTTGTATGACTAAGAATAAACAAAACAAGTTACCATATTTAGCTATAAAATTAATTCACCTGAATAGTTTCTCTTACGAATTACACTACAACAAACAAATAAAATCAACAAGTTATTTAATTTCCTTTTACATAATAAGGTAATCGTGCAGAAATAAAGCTATCTGTATTATAAAAACAATACCTTTTTTTAAAAAAAAAGAATATCAGGATAGGCTAAATGATTGACATGAGCATGATACTATCAAACTGTTTTGTTTTCCTTCACCAATAGATAAAACATACAAATGAAAAAAATTATATTATTAAAGAATGAACTAATAATTTCAATCATTTGGAAGTAAACGAACAAAGTGGAAAGGAAAAACAGAAATTCAACGAGTTTTTTTAACATAAACTTTTCAATTTTTTGCAGATGTGTTAAACAAAAGAGAACCAGTAAAAAAAGTTGAAAAGATGATCCATAAATGAATAGTCTGTGTTCAAACACAATTCTGTTTAGGATAGTTAGTTTGTGAATATTATGTAGTCTTAAGATATTTGTTACAACATTGAATACTGTTGGATGCATTATCGAAAACCAGGAATCCTTGGATAGCTGTTTCGTACTATTGTGAAGCTCCATAACTAATTCATAGTGTGAAACTATCTTTAAACTGAACAATTTCAGTGCACTCCCCATCCTGATAAAAATCATTAACTTACTAGTTACTGGCTTCGTTAATAATTTTTGAAGTGGTAGTTAGGAAGTTTCGACCGGTAGAGTTTAAGCACTCCCAGAGTAAGACATTTATTACTGATCCCAATTAATGAGGGTCACTTAATATTTAATTTATAAACTTAAACCACTGAGTTGTCACTCAATGGTTTGAGGGTATCTAGATCCGAGCAAGGCTTGATAACCTTATACTCAGTTCACGACCGAATTGTGAGTGCGTTCTCCTAAAGATGTTCTTACGAGGATGAAAATAGTTACTCAATGACCAATGACTCTCTTACTTATGTCAGTTCACGATGATTCCATACCTTGCAAAATTTGAAAATACAGTTTTGAACATGCAACAAAATTAAGCTCTTCGAAAACTTAATGAAACGTCTGTCTTCATATTCTAATAAAAGTGATGAGATAATGCGTGCATTTGCACGAAATCTAAAAAAACATTATATTAATTTCTGGTCAATTTATTCATACGCTTTTTCAGATTTTACGCGTTTTGGCAGAGGAGTTCATCGTTACTATGGTGTTTGAAAAAAATGAAAATTATCCAAAATTGAACCGCATTAATATCAGTCATTAGTAAAGTAAAAATGAAGCAATTAAAGATATAGAAGAATATCAAATACGATTACTATATATACACACAAACTAAAGAACTTTTCCATTTAATCGTTAATATAGTAAAATGGGGATATCTCATCAATTAAGATACACCGAGTTTCAATATTTTTTAAATAAGTTAAATTCAAATTTAATCTAAGTTAGTTATATACCGTAACTTTAGTGTTAAAAAAAACAATATACAATAAGATAATTCGTTGGATCTCAATGTAGAAAAAAACGGTTACACGAAATATTTTGTATTGAATGTAAGTACTTTAAATTAAAAACCTAATGATGATAACCCAATTGGGAAAATATCAAATTTTAAAAACAAATTCAATCAATATAAAATAATTGGTGTATATTCTCGAAAACAATATACGTGAATTCGAAAAATTAGCTTCCATTGACCAATAAATCACTATGAACAAGGAAATATTGAATTCAGACCATCGGATACAAAGTCTATAGTAAAATGATCGAGGAAACTTATAACTAGACTGGATAGTGTTTTACTTAGAACGATAACGATCCAGCTCAGAAAATTCAACACTACAATGATTATAAAACACTATACGATGAATGTTATTTTCATTACGAATTGACGTTAACTGAGAAAATGTTAGAAAATAAGGGTTATGCAATATCGTGAGTTGTTGGAATTTAGACCTGTACCCCGATGAATGGCGACTTAGTGATCTAGAGGTTAGGCATTCATGTGAGAGACCTAAGGTCCCGGATTCGACCCCTGTATATGGGTAGTGGATATGCACTCCTGAGGAGTCACATATTGATAGGATAGAAATCCACTTCTTAAATGTTTTTTAATGGCGACGTAGTTATATATAAATTCCACAAATCCCCACTACATTAATATATAATAAACATTGAGATATTTGATTTACAGTTAACAGTCAAGAGGATATTAAATAATCGTTTGGTAGTAATTAGAAAAAAGTTGAAGACTACTTATAATATTATCACAAAACTAATACATCAGAAAAAATAATTTACTCTAAGTGGAATGCGATTCCTACAAATAAGAAGTCATCAAAAACACAAATCAACTAGTTCTTTTGTACAAAGATATGATTGTTGAGACATATCATGAAGTTATAAGCAGTAGTCAGGAATCACCCTAAATGGAGCATCTTGTCAGCCATTATGAAATAAGTATCTTCAGACAGACTGGATATGACTCAAAATGCTTCCACGGTTTAAGTTATTCCAGTCAGTCAATCAACCACAACGTAGAACCTAGCACGTATGTACATCAGTTCGAAGTTCTATACACCATTAGTACAGAGAAACAAAATTGTCAGGCGAAATCCCAGAATAGTAGTGGTTGGGCATACCTAACACATGTCCCAGCCATCTCAAATGATGAAGGTTTTCGACTTCATCAATTAAATTCCCATCCTTAACTAGTACCCTATTCGTAACACTGGCATTGCTTACTTGGTGGTCCAAAAATATATAAGCAACACTTCGAAGACACCTATGGTTGAATTTTAGTAACCTAAGAATATCCTCTATTCTCAATGGCTATATTTCACAGTCATAAAATAGGACAGGGAGAACTACTGTGCATATAACTCGTCCTTTAGTTGGCAGACGGATATATCACCAACGCCACATATGAAGCAAGTTGATAAAAGTCAATTGAGCATTCCGAATTCATCCTGAGATTTCGTCAGACGCCAGAACATCAGGACTGATGAGACTCGCAAGATAAATGAAGCCGTCGAAACGCTCAGCTACTTCACTCCCTATCATTAATCCAGAGGTTAACTCAAGATCAAACCTGATAATCCATATGAACACTATATGACTGCTTACGTTACTCTGATTATGGTATTTAGCTTTGACTGGATCAGTTCTTACTAAACTCGTAATGAAAATTACAGAAATGTGTTATCATACCACTCAGTCATAAGGAAATGTTGAAGTGAATTACATATTAAACTCGGAAAAAGCCAAACGATTAAATGAATAGCCAAACAAAAAAGAAAAAAACATGAATATAAACAAGATAAACACAATTTATCCACAACTGATTATTGAATAAAATGCTAAACATTCATTAACACACACAAAAATACTTACTAAATACCACATCTGAGGCCATTTCGGATCTTTAACTGGAATGTGCACATCTCGTTTAACTCGAACCTTTGCAACTTGTTGTTCTAACCATACTACCTATAGATAACATGGAAATAATGAAAGTCAATTAAACGTATAATAAAAGAAGAGTTACTGAATACTACAGCATAATTCAATGACAATAAACAAGTGGATTTCGTAAAGCGGTGCCTTAATTATCGAACTATTTGGCTTGTAATCACTAAAAATACAGATTTAGGCACATCTACGCTTATTTTTGATTTGATTAAAGACAGGAAAGTATTGATAACTTGTAAAGGCAATATGTAGTTTAGCAGTTGACAAAAACTTCCTGTCAGTTCTTGCGATATATTTTCTTGAGATCAACGGCATAAATCGGAAATTTAAAAAATAATCAGTACACTCAACAATTATTGACAGAAATATGAAATAATCAGGGATATTAAAAAACGTTTAAAATGTCCTTGGAAAGTGTGAACTTGGATGTATCATCATCACTGGTAATAAAGTAGTTTTTAATTTTAACAACCTACTAATGTATACTACAACTGTAGTGTTGTACACATAAATTGAACACGGTACTTCACTGGTGATACAAATTTAAGATCAAAATAGTAACTGTAACACCGTTGAGAGAATCCGATTGAAGGACCTTTAATAAACACATTGTGAAGATGATTAGCTTTAACTACTCGATGTTACATATAGAGAAAAAGGTAACGTATTTCCTGATTAAAATTCACGTACGAAATAAACTACTTTAAATATAATTTGGCAAACTTAAATTATAACACATTTCCTAATTTATTTTATGTTATTTATTCCAGCTCGATAATCATGCACAAGATTATATACTTAGACTCAAGTATAGTAACATTATCCAATTGTACAGACCAAGTTATGTCCAGAAAGTTTGTTAGGATTGACCAATACCAATGTTATTATGAAATGTTAGGGTTACCATAATAATTATTACAGTAGCTTATCCCATCTCCATGTTATTATGACCTTCGTGATGTGGTAATTCCATATAACTTACAAATCTCTTAAAAGTTCCATTTATAGTCTATCGTTTCGGTTGTCCTGATTTCAGAATTGGAAACAGATGGATTTCGTAACGGCTGTTGAACAAAGCTGAATATAATGTCAATGTTAGCAACCACTGTATTACTGATGTATGCAATTTACAAGAGATTTGAACGTGATAACATTTAGTTTGAATTTAAGTGTTTTAACCGCTAGTCTACACTCTTCAACTTGATAAAATGTAAATGATCAATCATAATGAACAATAAATTTGTTTATAACACATCAATTCACGGTGGTAAATTTTGAATTTTCGACTCATAATTTCTTTCTCTAACTAAATCCATCAAGCTAATAACAAATTTGTTTTAACTGTTCATCTTCGTTACATAATATACCGAAATATAACAAACAAAATATTCCAAACATTCCAGACTATTGTTCAGTTTTCTTACAATAGATTTTAGAGAAAGAAAGCTAGCAAATTGGATTTTTTGTAAACTAATTATCGTTACCAGAGGAAAATGCAATTAAAATGAAACATTTACAGAGATAATAAGTATGATTTTTTGAAGAGTATCTGCTTTTGAATCAAGTGATTTCTAGAAGAGCCAATTTTAAGTGTTAGCAATAATATGAATGATTCAAAATGGTGATCCTTTGAACAATGCACTTCACGAGTCAATGAATATTGAAAATATAAATCCAATAGAACTCGATTAATTGATTATAATCCTGATATTGTGAGATTTCACTTGAACACGAGTCGAGTCTTCAAAGAACATACTGCTGATAGATTCAAGTAACAAGTGACATAATTAACCAGCAATTATTTCTATTTCGACATTTCTTCGATTACTATAAATTTATGATGAAATTATCTACTAATTTTGACATCAGGAACAATGAACTGATTCACATATTTTAATAAGTTAGTATTTTTAGAATGGGGATTTGTGGAGGTTGTAGTAATTTCAACAGTTGTATTCATGATTCGATCCAAGCTAGACCACCATTGAAAACCTGGAAGCAGTAGACAGTCGTTTCGTCGCAGTGTGGAACTCCTCAACAGTGCACGCACATCCACGATCCCACACGCGGGACTCGAGCCTAAAATGCACGGTCTCGCGCGCAAACGCTTAAGCTCTAGAATACAATCTCCACCTGTACGTTTATCAAATCCTAGAGTGAACATCAACACTGAGATGCAGATACATCCAAATGACGAATCCCAAATAGGACGAAACGCGCGTCCTGGATTCCACTGCTATCCACTATCCATCTTTACTTAGAAAAACAATAATATATGACTGAAAAAGGTTATATGCACATTTATCGAATTGGGTTATTCTATAATTAAGGCTGAAGGAGTCCTAAACTAAGAAGGAACGGTCATCCAGTGCTTCCAGATTTTCCATGATAGTCTAGCTTCAACTGACTCATGGTCTCAACTATTATAATTAATTACTATGGCATTGATATGGAGTATAGATACAAATCGTTAGAAGAACTTCTTTTTAAAAAAATGTTATATTTCACTGTCATAAATAAAATAAACATTTGAACTTTTAGCCCCATTTCATTTTTCATGTTAATGTAGTCAAGTCATTCATTTTCTTAGAAAAATAATTGTTTTATTTTAATAAAATTCAGTGAAACAACTGTTCCATATTTTATTATTATTATTATTATTATTATTATTATTATTATTATTATTATGTGAACAACCTTACACTATAAACATCTTTATTGATATATATACATGAGAAATATTTATTTATTACTACCCTACATTATCCTACATGGTATTTGTGTTATTGCTTAAAAAGACAACATTCCATTTTTATCGGAACAGATATATTATAAACTGAACGAAGAATATATTTTTTTCCAAATCAATTCTCATTTATAACGGTAGAATCTCATGAGAATGTATTAGAAATAATATTACTCATTTAGTTGAAAAAGTTGAATAGATTTACAAAACATTGAAAGTGAATGTTATGTATATATTGACTATGATATTTCAATATATCGAACGAAGTGTTTATCTAAGTAAACCAATAAATGTGCCACACCTAAAAGGGGCGTTTAAATTAGCTTACTTAACACAATAATATTAATACTATAAAATAAATAAATAAATGAGTTTCAACAATAATACAAATACAAAATTGTCAACGTAGACTTTGAAAAAATGAATATATATATACGCCTATGACTCCTCATCGATAGTCTACTGTAATTATTTAGAAGTAGAAGGAAAAAAGTGAAAATAAACACATACTAAAGTGTATTGAAATAGATCCTAACCAGTTAAGTTAACATAATATTTATATTTATAATACGAATTACACATATACACATACATTCCAGAGAACAAACTTTTCTTTACATTTTGCTAACATGACTTTAATTACATCAAATTACTCAGAAAAAATTTACATCACTATCCTTGATATCCCTGGTAAGAGAAACGATAATTACTAAGTTACTATTGTAATTTCAAACAAACGGTCATAAAGAAATTACATATAATCGACATCTAACTTTAGATTTCATCATCCTATGCTACCGAAGCATGAAATTTATTTTGTAGTCTTACTTTAAGGACAGACGTTGGTTAAAACGCCATTGACAACCAGGAGGTACTGGACACCTGTTTCGTCCTACTGAGAAATAAATTGAATTAAAAATGCAAACCATTGGATGACAATTCAGCATTTGTAGAGTAAGTGCCCACACAAGGTCTGGAGGTCTTGGAATCGATCTCTAAAGGAGTCGAGGAGACGAACTGCCGAGGAATCCAATACTATAATAGGCCATCTGTCTAATGCATCATGGTTGTTAACGATTATCTAACTAAAGCCAATTCGTCACGTAAAACAACGAAATTCAATTATCTCTACAATCCCTACACTATTAAGTTTTACAAAAGCTTTCTTTGAATAATATGAAGAAAAGGAAAAATTGATTCTTAACGTAAAAGTCCAGTTTTTTTAACCTTTCAATAATTTAATAGTACATCGAAGTAATAATTATTTTGCCCTCGGTTATTAATGTAGTATTATGAAGAGAAAAAAAAGAATATGACCCACAATCATCAAGATTTCATACATATGCAATATGATGCCCTACTGTTTAGTTTATGTTTATTTCGTAGATCTGCAAATTGACATTATAAGAATTAATAACATGAGAAACATGATCACAATATACCCCCTTCATATATTTAACATTGAAATAGTAATTAGGAAAACAGTAATAAACAGAAGTGCAAGTTTATTTGGCAGACATTAGATAAAGGTTATTTCATAATAGATGCCTATATAAAAGGAAATGTGTTTTTCTGCACAATTTTAGGATACTACAACTGAGAGTAGTTCAAAATTTACAATAAATAAGAAGGTTTAGAATGCAGCCGGCTTGAAGATCGCATTCACTATGGATTAACAGCAACTGGAAAACTATTGAAGGTCGAGAAACATTAAGCAGCTGACTAATCACACCTAAAACCTTCAGTTTTTGTAGTGAACACGATACCACTTGAATAATAACTCGTAATCCAATAGTTTACCTTTTTCAACATTAGATCGTTTGTGACACGACGTAATTCTAACCCAATATTATTGGGAAGAGAATCATTTGAAAACAAATGATACTGAAATTTCAGAGCAAAAATATACTGACTTAATGAGCAAAAAATGTTTACCTCGCTGTAAGAACTTAAGATCAGAAATTTTATCCGCACAAGCTAATGTCATGTAATCCATAGGAGTCCTATACAAGCATTAAGTAACTATCAGCTCTATAATCTTCATTGATTCTCCGGATGATACCAAACAGTTACAAAAAAACAAGTACAAAAAGCAGGTACCACTAAACAAAGAGTCCAATTTTGAATACTGATTAATTGGTTGTATCATACCATATTTATTACAAGAGCTTTATATCTGAGGTTATAAATGATAGAATGTTCCAAAACTGAACTGAACACCAACTCAGTATTGACTTTCGTTTATAATGATTTTTACCGTTTGGTGAAAAGT